TGGGCATTTAGGTGGAAGGGGGTGGGAGTGGGGGGGAGGGGAGAGTGTGGGCTTAGGGAAAACTTTCGTGAAGGGACTTGATGCCTAAACCCGAAGACGGAGCTAGCCAGAGGGATAGCTGGGGCAAGGGCACCAGGCGGAGGGAAGGGACGAGCAAAGACTTCCCTTAGAACTGAAGGAAAGCCGTTGTGGCTGACTCATTCAGGCCATGGAGGAAAGAGGGAGAGTGGTAAGGAATTACATCTTTTTAGAAGAAAAATATGGGAAATATACTTTCATGTAGGATTTTTGGAAAAAAGTGTCTTTTTTTTTTTTTTTTAATATTAAGGTTCAAAATTGGCAACATGGAATCCAATCTCTAGTTCTGGAAACAGGTGCAGCAAGCTCACCTGTGCACCAGACCCTTGGGCTTCAGGCCTCCACATTCTATCTGGTGCTTCCATCCCCCTGTACGACTACATTTGTGCCAGGCCCAGCAGGGTTAGGGCTGGGCGGGACACAGTACAGGGCTCCCTCCCAACATTACCTGTCTCAGTGTTGCTGTCACCACCTGAAGTTTGGGAGAGACTGGGCGCAGGAGTCACTGACACTTCACGGTCGTCTTGGAAGCCTGTCCAGCCACACACCCTCCCAGCTTCAGTGAGGCGGGCCACAGAGTCAGAGAGCGGTGGTCCACTCCACCCTCCCACTTGATTTTCTTTCTTCGAATCTGTGTGATACAATGAAGCCAGCCTGTGGTTCTCAATTGCTTGAGGCCAGCTCTCTCCCATCCCTGTCACCAGCCGTCTTCCATCCTTTAGCATGATGATCATGTCCTCTGGGGCTCAGAGTCTACAAAGCTCTTCTTTTGTCTACATCCTTTTCTAAATTATCTATTCTTTTCCAAGGAAGTATGGTTCTCTAAGGGCCACTTACTTGCTATCTCAGCCAAATGCCTCAACTTAAAATTCTTCCTTAAAATATTTTTTCTTGGGCGCCTGGGTAGCTCAGTCATTAAGCGTCTAGCTTTGGCTCAGGTCATGATCCCAGGGTCCTGGGATCAAGCCCTGCATCTGGCTCCCTGCTCAGCGGGAAGCCTGCTTCTCCCTCTCCCACTCCCCCTGCTTGCGTTCTCTTTCTCGCTGTCTCTCTGTCAAAAAAATAAATAAAATCTTAAAAAAAAATATTTTTCTCAAGGAACAGTATTTTGAACATCTCTTAGGCGATGACTGGAGACAAGAGTGACCTGGAGTAAGGATGACCAAATGAGAACTGTAATCGAAACCACAGGAACAGTGGGGTCATCTTGGGCAGGGCTGTGGTCTCTGCCTCTGAATGGGGAGGGGCTTGAAATATTCAGAGTTGCTCCTTTACCTCTTGCACATTTCTTTAAAAACAAGGTTGAGACACTGTCTCAATTCCAGGAGATGATTTTTACCCACAGGACCAAGACAAGAAGGGAAGAAAACATCTTGTTACATCTTATAGACATAATACTTTTTAGATCAGAACAGAAACCTGAAGAAAAGTTGTAAGAGTCAGCAAATTATTAGTCTCCCTTAGAGTTTTCACTCTTTAAGTGCTAACCTGCTAGTAAACGATTAGTATCTACTAATTCTCTATCTGCTGCATTATTCCTATTATCCGCTAACTGTTATGTGATCCTCACATTCCCTTATCGATAAGAATTAAACAGGGGCCCATAATACACCTTCTGAAATAAGCCTCCTGTGTGTTTCCTGCAGACACACCACTCCCTCTTCAAAGAAGCAAAGGTCCACAGACCTTCTTGAATCTCTGGGGGCTGAAGGTGGTTGGTTCCATGTCTCCTGATTTCCCTGAGGAGGATACCATGATTTTCTCTCAAAGCTAACTTGAAGCTTTGCTTCAAGATAATATAGGGTGATGGCACAAAGACGGATCCATTTTCCTGAGACTTAAGAAACAAAAATTCTCCACAGCCTAAGAAATAATAGCAAAAGAAAAATGATGAGCACTATCTAGGTGGCAAACTGAGATGGTCAGTAACTCTTACCATCTCCCTCTGTTGCTAATGGCAAATGAGTGATTTTGAGAGCGGCAGCCATAGGAGCCTTACTTTCTAGTTGTTATTCTGCCATTACTGGGGCAGGACCAGGGGAGAGTGTCACCTACGTTCTTAAACTTTTGCTTTTTTTTAAAACCAAAACATTAATGGTAACTACTGGAGGGTCCAGGAAGGACTAAGCAGATACTCAGGCATTATAAAGAGCCATGGTTTATGACAATATAGAAGTCCGTTCCCCAGCCAGCAATCTCCAAAACCTTAACTTTTCCTCTATTAAAAAAAAAATTATTTATTACTTTTTTAAAGATTTATTTATGAGAGCGAATAAGCGAGAGTGGGGTGGGGGGAGGGGCAGAGGGAGAGAGAAAATCTCAAGCAGACCCCCTGCTGAGCACGGAGCCCGCCACAGGGCTCAATCTCGCCACCCCAAGATCATGACCTGAGCCGAAATCAAGTCACCAACTGAGCCACCCAGGTGACCCAAAAAAGTTTTTAAAAGAATGTAGAACTTTAAGCTCAGAGCCACTGAAGGGGACTGTCGGTCCTTCAGCTACTTTCTACAAAAACAAGTGGCAAAAACTCTGTATCTGAAGTATTTATTAAAGCAAGGAATCTGAAAAGAGGAGTAACATAGTTAAAGTAAGACATAAAAGGTTGAGTATTTTGTCTATCGCATCATCTAAACAGTATACATATATTTTTTACTGTGGTTAGAACCCTTCAGAGATCTACCCTCTTAACAAATTTTTATGTACACAATACAGTACTGTTAACTACGATCTTGCTTAACTGAAACTTCAGAGCTGTTGAACAGCGGCTCCCCATTTCCCCCTCCATCCAGCCTCTGGCAACCACCATTTTACTCTGTTTCTAGGAGTTTGGCCATTTTAGATACCTCATTTATGTGGAATCATGCAATATTTGTCTTGTGACTGGCTTATTTCACTTAGTATCGTGAATTGAGCATTTGCAAAATAGCTAAGTGAAATATCTATGAAGTAGTTAACTGGCTAAAAGTATGTTTGTTGATTATCAACTATGTAATACAGTACTCTCAAACTATATTACTATCCCGAAAAGACTTTCAACAGAGGGGACGTGGCTAGGACTTGGGTAAGAGTTTTATGATACTAGCATATTCAAAGATCCTTGCATTACAAGCATTTCCCTTTCATTATTTAGATTCCTCCAATTTAAACTAACCGTAAAAGTCAATAATTAAAGTGAGTGTAAGAAAATCATTTGCTAGAGTGTCCTGCACAGGTGTACTTTCCATCTGCCGAGATCGAACTGGTTCTACCAGAGTACCAGGTTGTAAGGTGAAAAAAAATGGAAGAATCCAGGAGTGCATTTAAAATTAGAGGCCGGGGCATAACCAAACGTACATCACTAGCTCTAAAAATTAGCTGAGAGCCAGAGAAGCCAGTAAGATTAGATGTGCCAAGTATCCCATCTATAAGCAAACTGAAAAGCAAGTAATGCAACGCTTGGTGATCTGGGAAAACTATGATCTAAAATAAAGGATGCTCAGCAGAGAAGAGAGGTGAGGCCCTTCCTGAAAGTCTGTGCTGATCAACAAGCAATATTAACTTTAAAACAGGATGAGTTTGGGATAAAGATGGGAACCCTGAAGACTTTTAACATATATCTCAATATAATGCAAAAAATAAGACCAAGTAGTGCTTCAGATACTAAGAAGTAAACAGCAGCCATAAAAGGTTTTTTTTTTTTAAATAGAAACTTGAGAAGTCTGAAAGTATTCCGTTGAGCCTCACGAAGTGGCCATTTTTTGAACATCAAAAGGTCCAAATATCAGTAATTTCATATGGTTCAGCCAAAGCAAAAGAGCGTTCACTTATTCAATGCTAAAAATAAAAACCTGAAGACATGCTAATTTTTGTGGCCTTGAAAGAAGGCTTACTTCTATGAGAAAATATAACCGAAGTAGAAGATATAGGCCTCAAGTCGTACAAAACTGTGGCCAGTCAGTGGCCATGTAAATAAGCCTAAAAATAGTATTTTCCATTTATAACCATCGTTTTTGTCTACAATAAGACAATTCTATTCCCAATAGATTTGTCCATCCCTCTTGCTGGATCCCTGAACCCAGCTATTAATGGTAAAACTTCAGGCACATAGTCCTGTGTCCACAGACACCCCACTTCTCAATCTATAATTCACCGCTTTCTCCTACTCACTCCATCCCTTCTCTAGTGCTCTACTTTCTTCCAACTTTGGCACACTGACAGTCCCATCTGTCCATGTCAGGTTCCCCCCCCACCCCTTTCCTTTTAATACACCAGTGATCTAATCATTCTTGCATAGAAAGTGGTGATTTGTATGAGCCTTAGTCCCTCATCCATTCCCATATAGATGAGCTGTTTTTTTTTTATTTTTCATTTTTTTTGCAGTGATATTTTATTTATTTACTTATTATTTTTAAAATTTTAGGTAGTGAACGTACAGTGCAATATTGGTTTCTGGAGTAGAATTCAGTGATTCATCACTTACATACAACACCTAGGGCTCACCATAACAAGTGCCCTCCTTAACTTGGATGGGAGCTCTGTTGTTCTAAAGAATGCATGCAAGATTTGGCCTTGTAACTTTCCATTTCTGCCATATTTAGATTTTGATGCCTTCTCAAAAAACAAAACAAAACAAAAACAAAAAAATAACTTTCTGGATTCCTGACAATGTACATAGATAGGGTCTGCACGACCTGACGTATTAGGGAAATAATTTGCAACAGGAAGGGCATCTCAATGTGCCTTCAACATTTTGTGATGATGGCCTTTCAGAACAGTGCAGGTACATTTCCGACTCATTCCATTGCACTTCATCGTTTTCTAACTTTGGTTCTGGCAGTTGTAGAGGCTCTTTGGTGATGTTAACAACAAAATGACAAACATACTATTTGATATCCCACTGTTGTGAACGACCAGCACAACCACCGCCCCCTGCATTTACATACCTTGAATTTGCTATTTCCACTTTGGTTCTCGCCATGGCAGCTGCCCTTTGCGCGCCTTCAATTGCTCTGTCCACCTTCTCCCTAGTTTTTGTATTTCTTATTGGTATAAGCTGCTTCCTTATTCCACGGACCAGAATATTATTTTTGTATTTTCCCTCTTCTTTGGAGCCGTCAGGAAACACGGTGCAGCCATACCCGTGCCTCTTGTTATTTGCCCACTCGCCTTCATACTTCATGCCGTTGGAGCGCTCGCTAATGCCGAAACCATTGCGCTTGTCGTTCTTCCACTCGCCCATGTAGGTTTCCGTGGTGGTGGCGTCGACGTGGTCTTCCACGGGGCAAAAATCACAATCGACATCGCCGAAGCTGATCGTGGAATTGGCATCGCTGGAACTAATTCTGCTCATGGCCGCGTCGCTGCGGACCGAGCTGCGCTTACTGGAGATGGAAGACTTGGATTCAGATTTGCGAAGTTTCATGCTTCCGAGAAGGGAGCCCCTTCGGAAGAGGCCGCCCTTCTTCTTGCCCGCGAGCTCCGCGTCGGCATGGAAGTTGAGCACGAAGCCGCCGCGGGTGCCCGCGGGACTGTCGGCAGCAGCCGCGGCGTCGTGGAGCACGCTGCCATTGCTCTGCTCGCTGCGCAGCGAGGCCATGGAGGTGCGCAGCGGGGAGCGGATCACCGTGGCCATGCCATAGGGCACGCTCTGGCGCACGCCGTAGCCATGCCGCATGCCGCCGGCCCACTGGCCCTGGTAGGTACCTTCAAGAGACCGTGAGAAAGCACAGCGTGAGTCGGGGGCAGAAGGGGTGCCCTCTTGGCTGCAAGCGCCGGGGTACGCCCTGGGAGAGCCTGGCGCATAGAGCAGGCAGGCCCATGGTCAGATCCCACACATTTCCAAGTCAACTCTAAGCGCTACTTTTCATCCATTTGTGAATTCCCGCCCTGTAATTTTGTGTCTATGGTTTTAATGTAATTGCATAGCATTTTCCAATAGTCTGGCAACTTTGCTTTTCATTTAAAAATTTATATGAGTGTACTACTTTCTAATACAAAAAGAGTGATCATTAGAAAACAACTTTTCTCCTCTGAAATTAACACATCAAAATCCCCCAAAGGAAGGCAGTGTCACAGAAGATGAAATGAGTTCTATTTGTGAATTTTATTCTAATTTTACTCATTTAGCTGAAAACCTTTAAAAACTCTAGACCCGTCACTGTAACATTCCAACAGGCTCAAAGACTTAACATTATTGGTGACCTGAATACTCGGGACATGGGCCATCAGATTATCTTACATTTTTTTTTTCTTTCATGTTCACCATTTTTTTTAGGGTAGGGAAAACTTTAATATTTAGGCTTGTTATGTAGATTTGGGAGAAATTTTTGGAGCTAAGAGTGATTTGACAAATACTGTATATATCCTGAATATAGCGAACCATTATGAAAAAATGGGCAATTTAAGATTTTGTACTTCCAGGTCGAACGGTCAACATCTGTCCTGTACTACTGGCCAAATTTCTGCTTTCTCCTCGCCATTCTCTTCACGGATTCCCCTAGTCTCTGACACTACATAATGAAACACATCATGGACTAGAAGCACTCTGAGGGCAGGATTACCTCCTAAGCAAACACAAAATTTCCAGTCTCATGGCTTATGTGCCCTGTGGTCTGTAGGTGTTTGATGACTTCATAGTAAATAGCTATGATGACTCAAAAGAATATACTATTTACTCCTAGAAAAACTGAGATTAAGGCCAGAATAAAACTTCCACTACTAACAGTATAGAATTCATCTCAGAGCAAAGGTGTGTTTGACCATGTTCCTTAAAATTCTATTGATACCAGATCACTTTTTCAATGAATATTATGCCATTTTAGGAATAGGATAATCTCTAAAGCATTTGTGTTCGGTAAGTTTTTCTATTAAATAAATTTGCTAAATAACCTGGTGTGGCTTTTTAAATCACATGAAAAACTGGGGGGGCGCCTGGGTGGCTCAGTCGTTAAGCGTCTGCCTTCGGCTCAGGTCATGATCCCAGGATCCTGGGATCGAGCCCCACGTCGGGCTCCCTGCTCCACGGGGAGCCTGCTTCTCCCTCTGCTCTCCCCCTGCTTGTGTTCCCTCTCTCGCTGTGACTCTCTCTGTCAAATAAATAAATAAAATCTTAAAAAAAAAATCACATGAAAAACTGAATATTAAAATTAGGGAACTTAGGGGAAAAAAATAAGAGGGAACTTAGAATTTTCTTTTCAAAATCAAGGTGATTTCCTTTAATTAAAGGCGTTTTAAATTATAGTATCCCCCCCCAAAGAAGCTATGTGGAGATTTTAAGACGTAATTACTTCTGTATTATTCATCATAACTCAGAAAATAAATCATGGTTACAGTCTTTTTTGACCTCTTTCAGTTTCTGATTATATAGATCTACCTTGCAGTCACCTCTCATTTCATTTTAGATTTCCATTTACTTTTTAAAAGCTTGAGCTATTTATGCTATATCATTGTGTTAATACGGCCTGATTATTTCAATGCGTTTAAAACTGTAATGGCTCCAAAATCAAGTTTTGACAAATTTCAAGACTATATTCTCTGTTTAGTCTGATATATTTATGTCATATAAACAGACAACAGCAGGACAACAATGAAATTCTAAGTAGGTCTGGTACTATGAATGTCCTATTCTGGGTAAATGTTAAAGTCTTAACCTGACTTTTATGAACTTCTGAGGAGGTAGGTGGGCCACAGCTTTCTCAAAAGGATTAAACCCCAAAGGATAAGGTAGTCACATAGAACATTCCAGGTTAATAAGGTTCCTACTGAATATTAGCCTTTTCCAAATACCATCACCTTAACAGGGAAGGGAATTAAATTATCAGGAAATTTCAACTTTGACTCTCCCTCTGCCTATTTAGATAAAATACAAGTTCTAGGATAAAAGTTCTACAACCTGACTTACACATACTAAAACAACCTTGTTTTTAAAATATTTTGTCTAAATAGCAAGTAATGCTATAATCATCTCCTGTCTTTCTACATAATGACAAGTTAATTTTGCAAGAACGTTTCCAAAGGTGCTATTTGATGAAAGTTTTATACTTTGAAAATGCAACCATACCATCTTAGTAAATGTTTAACACTGAAGGAGAATTAACAAGTAGTTTCCTTAAACTGGTATCTCCAAAAGTAAGAAGAGTATTTAGAATTTCCAAATAAGTATTGCTTGAAAATCCAAGCAGTTTAAGGCAACAGTGGTAATTAGAAAGTTTAGGTCTCTGCTTAACTGTCAAACAGGAAAGGAGGCGGGGCAACTGCATTGGCCATGTTCCCATCCTATTTTGTTAAATCACAGTATATGGAAGACTTCTTCCATGGAATTGCTAAAAACCAATTTACAGTCAAACTGTTAGTAGTTCATCTGAAATTTAAAATAGGTTTAGTCAATGAACTTAGGGGAAAAAAAGGGCTTCTATTTTTTTTTTATGAAGCAGGTGGGTTCCAACTTCTCTCTGCTGTCCAAATAAAGTTCTAATTAGTTCCTCTCCATTCCTCAAATAAAGATGCATATTTCACAAGTGTAAAAATTATTTTTACAGGTTTTGCCTTAAATTATGTTCTATGACTTTTTCATCTGGGAGCTGGTTTTCTAGATATAGCCATTTTAACTACATAATCTTGTAGTGGAAGGCATCCAGTTCAGAATGAGTTCCAGTCAAATGTAGACTGCGCTATGCCAAACTTATATTCATGTGCAATGAATGGGTATATGCAAGTATGCACATAGTTAATAAAGCAATGTGTCTTCCTAGATATTTTCAGTAGTTTATGACTGGTGGAAAAAAATGAGGTACAGCAGATCAGAATTTATGCAAAAAATTCTGGGCACCTAGATTTAGATTTCATTAGTACGGTACTAATTTATTCTTAATTAATATTCAGGCAGTTTTGGCAACACTTCACACACAAATCACTAATAAGTCAGGTGATACTCTCTATATGGAATTAATACTTCATCTTCTAGTTTAATGTTGTCACAAAATACATGGAATCAGATTTTCCCTAAGTTTGACAAAGGGTGCACAGTGATGGACAGGTGGTAGCGCAGAGACAAAAATAAACTCATTCTTAAGTCAGAATAGGGAAGGTGAAATTTCATATCTTGGTCAAAACTTCTGTATAGCAATACACTTCTACTTAGACCCCCATTTTATGATTAGGAACTTTCTAATTAAATGAAGTGACATATGAAAGAAAGCAGAAAATCAACTAGCACATAGTAGACAAAGTGATTTTTAAGGGTTTTCTTTTTCCTTCCTGATTGGGAGCATATTTGATTTCTTTTTTCTTTTCTTTGGTAGAAAAGGAAAACCAGTCCTAAAGTGATGACATATTTTAAGGTTTAGAAATTTTTTAAAGTTAGTTTTAAATCAGAAGGCAGATTATCCATAAAGTCATCCTGGTCACGTATTTGAGCTTCTACAACACATACATAGAGGATCTTCATTGTGCCATATGTGTGTGTGTGTGTGTGTGTGTGTGTGTGTGTGTGTGTATTTGCTAAGTGTAATGAATCCTCTAAACCCAGAGATTTTGTTTAATGAGTAGTAACTTTAAAAGACTTATTTATTATTTAAGACTAATTTATTTTTAACCTTCCCAAACTGAAGAGAACTATCCTTGGCCTTCTTAAGAAGTTATAAAATAACACGCACATTTAGAAACTAAATTTTGCGTTCTACTTTTGAGCATGGACTTTAGTTATATTACAGACCTAGGGCCTCCAATAAAATCCAATCACAAGCTAACATATTATAGGGCTGTCAACCAAGGCACTATATGCCCATTCAGAACATTTAAGGGCCCTAATTAACTACAGTGAAACTCAAGACTCCTGGAGCTCATATAAAAGTATTAGAGAAAGTTTTTTCCCCTCCTTTTAATCCATGAGAACCATATCCTTTATTTATATCGTAGGATGAAGAGATGTCCTTTTTTATCAAATTCTACCATTGAATCCTACCGTTTTGCATTTGAAATACAGCCCAAGTGTTCTGAGTAAGTGAAGTGTACAAATTGTATAAGCTTTTATGCAGTGGGCTGGAGAAACTTTTAATTGGATCCTTTTAATTCCCTTCAACTCTAAGCTGTGTAATGACAAAAGTTGACACTGCCTCCCTTAACCTTTTTCAATTAATTATGATTATGTTTATCATCAGAAAATGTATTTTGCCAAAGCATAAGCTATTCATCCTTCTCAGCTTATTACACAAGTAAATTCATCAGGTTCTGACACCTGTTTCAGTAATGGATTCTTTTCCTAAATAAAAAAAAGGGTGGAGGAACTCAGCCCTGTTCTATACACAATTTATTTTGCAAAATTGTTAAATATTAAAATCGGGTGAATTTTGTTCATAGCTAGCTAGCATGCTGAGGTCATACAACCTTAGTGCAATTTGGTGTTTCCATATTGCCATTCTCTGGAGTAAAGTGGCTGCTAACTTAGCAACTGTAGGAATGTATCGTTCCAATGTATTTCTTAAAACGAAGACTTCATTGTTCATTTCTAAGACATTTTCCTAGTAACTTGCCCAGAGATCTCCAGGTCAACAAGGACTACGATTCTCCTGATGGAAAACCACTACTTTAAGGAACCGAATGAAAACCGGGAAGGGAAACCCACACCCTCTGAGCCCCACCTGCATCAGGTGGCCTCTTCACTTCCATAGCTAGGATGTTTCCAAATGCACTCCAAATAAGGTACAACTCCCCTACATCCTAGTTATGGGGTTCTGGCTTCTATCTTTAGGCAACTAGAGGATCAGAAGCGAAATACGACTCCACGTGAAACCAATCCGGGGAGCGGTCAGCACCGACCGCCAGCCTCACAAGCCCAGCGCGTTCGCTCTAACTCCACGGGAGTGGTGTTTTCAAACCCGGCCGGGAGAGGGAGGGATCAGGAACGTAATGTGACGGGCTCAAGTGACAGCGTCCTCTCTGCTGCCCAACCCACCCAGACGGCGCTCCCTCCTGGTGGTAGTGCAGCGCTGGCGCCGGCCAGGTATATTCACGCCTTGCTCCCCCGGGTGTGGACACACTGCCCGTTCCAAGAACCGGGTCAGATCAAACCCCCCCGCGCACTAGTCGCGTCTCAACGCTGGCGCGGGAGATGGGTGGGAGGCTTCCCCAGGTGTTTTGGCGGGTTTCCGGACACGTGCGCCTCTCGTCCTCCCCGCTTCCCCGCAGCCTGGGCAAAGCCCACCGCACCAGCTCAGGGAGCAGCCGAGCCGCCTGCGACGCTGCTCACCTCCGTCCCCGTAGGTCTCCACGCCGTACCCGTCCTGCAGCCCGTTACTCCAGGTACCCTCGTAGCGAGCGGGGGTGCACAGGCTCTGCCGGACCCCGTAGCGCCCCTTGAAACCATGTGACCACTCCCCCCGGTACATCCACTTGCCCTTCGTCTCCACCCCCAGCCCGTGCCGCTTGCCCTGCGCCCAGTAGCCCTGGTAGGTGTTGCCGCTGGGCCAGGTGTAGCCTCCAGCCACCTCGAAGCCGTGCGACCAGGAGCCCGAGTACTCGCCCTGGCCCTTGGGCCCCGTGCAGATGCCATGCCCGTGCGCCTTGCCCTCCTCCCAGCCGCCGCAGTAGGTGCCGCCATCGTCGAAGTCGAACCTTCCGCCCGTCATTCGGGGGGCAGCCCCGGCGCGCTCCCCGCGGGGGCACGGACGCGGGCAGAGCTGGGCACGGCAGGGTGTAGCTCGGGGATGGGGGCCCGGCGGGCGAGCTCACGACAGCGCCCCGGGCAGCTCGCGCCGCCGCTCGGCTCCAGTCCGACGCCGCCCCCGTCCTCCCCTCTTCTTTCGCCGCCGCCACCGCCGCCTTCCTCCTCCTCCTCCTCCTCCTCCTCC